ATAATAATTTTATTTTCATATGGGTTAAATAAACGAGCACCTCCTGAACCCGGTTCTGTTCCAAAATAAACCAATGGCCTCGATCTATCGTCAAGTTTCTTTAGATGTTTCGAAACAATCCTTTCATACCCAACGCATCCGAACACCTTTAGATCTTCAAGATTCGGTTTTTGACCATAGAGTTTTTCATAAGGCGTGACTCCTACTAACGCTCTCGTAGGGATACGATTTATAATATAAGTTGCATGTCGAACGACTTCTCCCCAAAACTGATTTGGAACTTCTTTTGCTTTCATAAGACATCGTGTCATCTCGATTAGCGTCCGGATGTCGTTCTACTATGCCGTTTTGTTGGGGTGAGTACGGAGCCGTTAACATTCTTGCAACACCTTCTTCGCTCCAAAAACGATTAAAATCGTTTGAAGTAAACTCTCCCCCTCTATCTGTGTGGAACGTCTTTACAGCCTTCCCGATCCTATGTTCAATGGACTTTTTAAAATTTTTAATTACATCCACTGCGTAGTTTTTGTGTTTTAACAAAAAAGACCACATGTATCTAGAAAAATCGTCAATTAGCACCAAAATATAAACGTTACCGGCCATCGTGGGAGGATCAATAGGCCCGCAAATATCTCCATGTAACATCTCGAGAATATTATTAGACTTATAATTGGTTGTCTTCGGGAATGTGTGTTTGTTTTGTTTGCCTATCACGCAAATTTCGCAAACTTCTTCTTGATGTTTCAAAATTGGAACTCCATTAGTCAACTTGTGCATCATATTCACCGCACCAAAGTTGATATGGCCTAGTCGTGCATGCCATAACCAAGACTCATCATCGATCTTTGCTTACAAACATTGGGGTTTTCCAACTTTAAGTCGTGTTTTATAAAGACGATTTTCACTACGTGGAACCTTCATTAGCAACCTTCCATTCCGATCTTTCATTGTCAAGTAATCACCATGCATTCTAATGTCACAACCGGATAGTGTCGTTTGGCCAAGACTTATGACATTGCTACGAAGAGAGGGAATATAGTAGATATCTTTCATAACTTTTTGCTCACCGTTTTTTCCTTCGAACAAAATTGATCCTTTTCCTTCAATTCGAACACACGAGCCATCTCAAAATCTTACTCTTCCGGTTATCCGTTTATTCAACTCCGAAAAATATGAGTACTTCCCGGTCATGTGATTACTTGCCCCATTGTCGAGGTACCACATATCGTCGACTTCTTGATTTGCCTCTTCTTTGGGTGGAATGTATTTGTCTTCATTTAGGAAGATTGTCTCTTCTTGCATCATAAAAAATGTTCCTTCTTCGTGATCGACCTCCTCTCGGGCATCGTTGAGATTTGCTTCATGTTTCCTATTACGTTCCGGGCATCGCGAAACAAAGTGTCCAAACTTATCACACCGGTAACACTGAATTTTTGATAGGTCTCTTTGTTCATGATTTTTGCCTTTTCGTCTTTGATCATCACGATTCTTTGATGAGTCCCTTTGATCGTGGTTTTGGGTGTTATCTCGACCACAACCACGTCCTCGGCCTCGTCCCCCACGGTATGCACCACGTCCTCTCCCACGGCTTGAGTCTTCGTTTCGATTTGAGTTATCGGTCTTGGCATAAAGTAGCTTTTCACCGGAATCGAATGCTTTGCCGATTTCTTTAGTCCGTTCCTCGTAAGCTTTCAGCCGCCCAACTACATCTTCAAAAGTAATGGTTTTTAAATCCAAAACTTGCTCGAGTGCTGCTACGATGTGAATGAATCGACTAGGAAGACTCATAAGAAATTTCTTCACCAACTTCTCTTGCGAGATTGTTCCACCAAGTGTCGCTGAAACGGTCGCAAGTCCCGATAGTTTTGAAGAGAAATCGTCAATAGTGCTCGTATCTTTCATCTTCAAACTTTCGAATTCCGAAGTCAATGTTTGCAAACGTGCTTCCTTCACTCGATCCGCACCCATGTTCCGAGATTTGATTGCATCCCACATCTCCTTGGCAGTGGCGAGATTCCCGATTTGCAAGATTAAATCTTCCGGTATTGATTGAAACAATAATCCCATCACGATATTGTTTCTCTTTGCATCCGTTGAACCCGGATCAACCACGTCCCACACGCCGTGAATGCCGAGTAAAACTTTCATACGCATGTTCCATATCGTGTAGTTTAATGGCGTCAACTGCGGAAATTGAAACGAGATTGAGTGTGCCTCCTTCACGGGTAGATTCGCTCCATCTCCTGCCATGAATAATCAACAACAAACCACACACCTTCTTCAACGGATGAGCAATAAAATAATGATTCCAATTAAGAAATTGGAAACGACGACCAATAGGACCAGATGCTTTTTCTTTAATTGGACCACAAGACATCAATTGTTTTTTTTTTTTTTTCAAAATGTGTTCTTGATCCAGGAGACAATTATTAAATAATTGGGGTATTAAATACTTGGAGGAAAAGCAACAATTTTGCATAAGAAGAAAAGCTTTTGCCGGCTTGAAAAAAATCAATTGATCGGGAGCAAGAGGTTGTGACTCTGATACCAATTAAAGGATTATATCAACCAAACTAACACTTTGATTGTATTAGAGAAATTCAGTATCACAAAACTCTAACAATTGACTTTCCTCTATACATGATCAACGCATACATATATAGATCTAGAATTCATATTGGATTACAATTCCTAAACAAAGAATTAGGAAACTTTCCATATAACGCGTATCTTGGACAACACTCCAAAACACCGATGGGTCGACCCGCGACATTAAGCCCATGGTCTCAACCCATTCGACCAACACTTTGATAGGGCTGTTTGCAAGAAGATTGGACCGTCGATCGAAACACCAGCAATGTCGGATTTTCGGCAACAGAGATGGTGGCAGCAGGTGGAAGGTGATTTCGTTGCTATCTCTTGCGAAGTAGCAAAGTGGATAATGTTGGCGACTTGATGGCAGAAGAAATCTTCATTTTTGTTGAGAGAGAGAGTTTTCACCTTTGATTACTAACTATTTCAAAAACCCACAAAATATACATTGTGACATCTCCATTTTCACGGTCAGAAAAGACCAATTTGTTTATGCTTATTTTTAAAATTAGAGTATCCATTTTAAAGATTAATATTTCAGAATTTGTTCCCAAAAAACATGATGATGATGGTATTATCAAAGCATTTCTAAAGAAATGTCATTTATCTATATTAAAACATTAGGATGTCATCGTCAATACAGAAATATAAGCATAACGAAATATTACAAGCCTTACAGTAATTAAACTAGTGGCCTAATATTTCTTGAATCTCTCAGCATAATGTATCTTTAATATCGTTACCAATGATACAATAAACTAAGTGAGTTATGGTGAGAAACCTGGTGAGTACATAGGGTTTTCAACACACAGTATTATAATCAATATGTTTATTCATAAAAAAAATTAACTCAATTTCTCATTCCCCATTATCTTCTTTTATTCTTAAGGATCTTCCCTAAGGGCCATTTATGCTAATAGTACAGTTAGGGGTGAGCAAAAACCGCACCGCAACTAAAATTAACCACAAAATCCGCATAAATCGTAACCGATAAACTGCAACCGCAATAAAAACCAATGGTAAGGTTTTCTGCTTTTCAAAAACCGCAAATTTGCGGTGCGTTGCTGTTATTAGTTTTCAAAAACCGCACCGCACCGCATATATTATATACACTTTATTATTATTAATTATTAATATATTAAATATTAAAATAAGACAAGTTTTATGGATGAAAGATGGATAAAATACTAGAAGACAAAAGTATTAGTTTTTTGTTATGTTTAACTTTGAAAAATTATAAAATTAGACAATTTTAAGATATTTATTATTAATTACGATTGATTTGATGTTTTTAAGAAATTAGTTGTTTGTGATTTAAGTTAATTGTCATATACCTTATGTTATTATTATTATTATTATTATTATTATTATTATTATTATTATTATTATTATTATTATTATAAGTAATAGGTTTGAACTCTTAAAACCGTTTGAGCTCTAAAATATGGTTAAAAAGCACACAAAATAACTGCACCAAATCCATGCGGTTAATAACCGCAACAAAAAAAAAATCGCACCGCAAAAATAACCTGCCTAACCGCACCGCAAATATAACCGCACAAAACGGTTTTGAAAATGGATTAACCGCATTTGCGGTTAGTGGTGATGTTTTAGCTAATAACCACATCGAACCGCAACGTGCTCACCCCTAACACTACTAGTTCAAGGATTCCTCCTTGATACGTGTCAATAGGTTTCTTCTATATTTATTCCTAAGGATTTGTCCTAAGGAATAGTAACAAAGTCCATAGCTGTCAGGATTTATCTAATAGGTTTCTTCTTTTTATAGGTTTAAGGTTTTATTTTTATTTTTATTTATTTATTTTACAGAAATAGTCCATATGTTTTAAGATTTCGTATATTGGTAGGTTTGAGCTTTGTGTAGAAAATAAATTACAGGAGATTTTAAGTGATTTTGGAAGGGTGGATTCTTTTGCAATGCAAGTTTAAGACTTCAAGCCTTCATGGTTTTTTTATGTATTGTTCTTTCAAATGGTACATATAAATTGCTGTTTTTTTTCAAAAAAAATAGGTTTTAAAATGTCCTAACTGATTTGTTGACATTTATCTTTTTTGTTTGATTAGAACATGAAGGAAAAATTAATGAAACCATGGAGAATACACTGTTCATGAGTACAGACCTAATAAGACACTCTCAAGCTATTATGTTATGCCACGTAAGAAAAAAGTCTCATATTCTTTTTTTAAACTCTTTTCCAAAAGTTCACAAAATGCGTATAAAACATCTATTAACAAATCTTAAGGATAAAACCTTGATATTCTTGATATTCCTTTGGGTTACACAAAATGTTTATAAACCTTAAACAGATCAAAAGGCAAGTCATTATAAATTTCTTATATATCACCATTGTTATACCATACACAACATCAACTATTGTTATAACATACACAATATCAAGAACATGGAAAATTCTTCGGGATTCAATTTAAAACATTCTACAAAATGATAAAAACCATAAATAAAATTATGATTCTTTCAAATCTAAAACATCTTCGGAAATAATCCTGATTCTGGAAAACGGTTCTACTAAATCATGGATATCTTGAGTAGCTGCACGAAAAAAGATATTATTACTCATTGACCCGTTATTAATAAAACATAGGTCAATTACCAAAAAAAACCCATTTTCATAGCATTTGTATTTCATTTATAAGCGATACCCAAGATTATTCCTGGCTTCTCAACCGATGTTCCCAACTTGATGCTGCAAAAAAAAGTTTAGAATGTGATATTGATAATTTAAAAAAAAAAAAAAAAAAAAAAAACAATAAGCGGTTCTATACTGACTCGTTTTTTGGAGTTTCGGCCGAATCATATTCATAATCGAAGACATAGCCTGCAATCATAGACATTATTATATGAGAATAAGAACCGAAAGGCATTTATGGATTAATAAAGTTTATAAAATTGGATTATGAGGTTTAATTTAACCTTTAGACTTAAAGAGTCGACGACACCTAGCCTTAATAGACGTATAGTATGGCATATCTTCGAAGTGTGTACATTGACAAGATGTGATCCATACTGCAAACTCAGGTGGACATGATTCACATAGCTCCTGTTTGAACAAAATTCAGTCACAACTCACAACTAGAGTTTAATTAAATTCAATATCTTACTTCTTTATTTCTTATATATATGTTGTCGAAACAAAAGAGCCAACATTACCTCAGGTTTAATGGCAAACTTCTTCCTCATTACATCCTCATTTATCTCCTCTTCGTTGCTTCCTGCACTCAATCCCTGCCATGGAAGGCTGAAGCCATGCACACAATTAGACCACACAAGATTAAAATTAAGACAAACTTCATCTCCTCTGCTCTCACCTTCCTTTGAGGAAATACACAAGAACATAAGCAAGAGACTCCATATCATTGCGTCTACCTTGTTCTGCAAGGTCATATAAAAAGCATCAAATTTTCATTAACCAACTTCTTATAAATAATAATAATAATAATAATAATAATAATAATAATAATAATAATAATTAATAAGTCTTGTATTCCAAGGCATGTAAGTAAGATGTTATAATAAGCAAATCAAATTGCTATTTCTTGCATTTAACCCAATTTCTTAATCCTACTCATTTAACACATTAAGAATAAACATGATTAGAAAATATCTGTATTCTATGTGTTCATCTGTCTCAGGATCTAAAACAACGTTTGCAAGGCCAAAATCTGTAAGGTACACCTGCCATATGAAAAGTTTATCATACCATTACTCCAATATGTAACACATATAATCTCATGTAACACAATCTATCATGCACTGATTACATTGAAATCAAACATTCTGATACAAGCTAAAACATGAGGCTATATAAACTACCAAATTTTTTGCACAAACTGTGGTATGAAACAGGTCATGCAACAATGGTATATATATGGTTTTTTTTCTTCAAAAAACAAACCCACATGCTAAAGGGAACAATGTTAAGATACTTACATAATTGAACAGCTACCTGACAAACATTGCTCCCCAAACCCATTAACAAATTTTCAGGCTTTATATCACGGTGAATAACACCCTTATCATGCATACACTCCACTGCTTCTATCTGCAAAAGTTGGCATAAATATGATTCAGAATTCAAATTATGTCGCATTTGTTAAACAGGACTGAACAAAATTTCTAGGGCTATATTCAATAATGGAGATGAGGAGGGCGTTTATGTCTATTTCCACAAGAAGAGACCGAAACACAATACAACCAATTCTTTCATGCCATGCAATGCTTAACTTTCAAAACTTACTAGTTGATTTGCAAGCATTAAAACTTTCTTCAAGCTGAACTTTCCACCACATCTGTCCAGAAGTTCTTGGAGGTTTGATCCAAGAAGCTCAATAACCATTATATTGTACCCCCTCTCAACTCCAAACCACTTGAGGCTTGGTATTCCCACTTCATTAAATTTAAACAAACACAATATCAGATAATATGTAAAAGAATCAACACAAACTATCCAAATATATAATAGAGAGAGAGAGAGAGAGAGAGAGAGAGAGAGAGAGAGAGAGAGAGAGAGAGAGAGAGAGAGAGAGAGAGAGAGAGACAGCTGAGGATGCTCCGTCGTAACAGGTTCCTAGAGAGTGTACAAATAAACAAATAAGTTTGAGCTCACAAAATTTTGTTTGAAGATCAACTGAAACAATCAATTAATCTCACAAATAGAGGTTGAAATCATTACCAGCTTAATAGCTACTTCTTCCTCGCTTAAAAGATTAACACCTGCATAAACTTCACTGAAAGCTCCCCTCCCAATCTTCCTTCCCAACTTAAACTTCTCACCAACAACATCATCCGTATCAATTATTCTTTCTTTATTTTTCTACAGAACAATGAATCCGAATTTAGACCCACATAAACCAAGCTTAAACCTCAAATCAGGGCTTGAAGAAAAAACTAAACACTAGTTAATACTTTAAAAACACGCCCAAAACGCTAGCTTGTAGGGATCAAACAAGGAGGGGTCAAGGTATTATATGAGAAAAACGAACGATATGATTTGGAGAGTGAAAAACGATGAGAGAATGATTGAAAATAAAACAATATGGAGTGGATTAGGGATAGATATTACCATGCAGATCGCCGAGGAAGATCGTGAAGGTAGAGTTGAAGACAAGCTAGGGTCTACGTCTTCGACAAGGAAGGGATTATATGGTAAATACCATTTACTTTAATTGGCCATCGTGAAAAATGTTTTAAGTTTAGTCTAGTCAAATCCTAACAGAAAGGAGTTAAAAATAAATGTCAGGAATGTTAATCATAGAGCGTGCACAAAAAAAAACCGGTTCACGATCCGAACCGGTCCAAATGACCGGTAAACAGGTTCGCTATGAACGGGTCCACTATGAAGTTTTCTTAGTCATGAAGTATTCTTAACCATCAAGTTTTACTTATCTATTAAGAATACTTCCTTATTAAGTTTTACTTAACTTTTAAGTTTACTTCTATGTTAAGTATTTCCTTAGTTTTGGCTCCTATATAAGGACCTAATGTTTCTAAGAAAAATATAAAAGCGATGTATGACAAAACTGAAGTAAGTGATATAAGAATAGAGCAGTAGCTTTCGTTTGAAATAATTAAGTTGTTTTGTGTGAGTAATTTTAGTCTACTGTCTTTGTTTCTTTATAACCACCAAAAAGTGGTATCAGAGTCGAGGTTTTGTTCAACGACGAGACGATGACGAATATGATTCAGCCGAAAATCCCAAAATTGACGGCAACAAATTACAGGAACTAGAGTATTCAAATGAAGGTGTTACCTGGTTCTCAAGATATTTGGGATATATTACAAGATGGATACATTGAGCTGGCAAATGCAGTTGCTAAAGCAGCTTAACGGATGCTCAAAAGACGAAGTTAAAGGAGTCCCGGAAAAAGAGATAAGAAAGCTCTATTTTTAATTTTCCAAGGTGTTGATGAATCAACCTTTAAGAAAATTTCAGATGCAAAGACATCGAAGAAAGCTTGGGAGGTTCTAAATCGCTCCAAGGATCCGAAAAGGCAAAAAAGGTACGACTCCAATCACTCTGGGCTGAATTTGAAACGTTGAAGATGAAAACTTCATAAAGCTTAGATGATTATGTTACTTGCTAGAAAAAAAGTGGCGAACGAGATGAAAAGAAATGGTGAAGCTTTTGATGAAGTAAGGTAATGGAAAAATTACTTCGTTCATTAATAGGATGGATATTTGAGAGAGGGGTTATTTGTGATTCATTAATATATTATAAGTATAATATATTAATTGAGAAATCATATTATTTAATTAGTATTGATCAAGAATTAATTTAGAAGTAATTTAGTGATCAAAAAAGACAAATTAAATTTGTAGGGACTGATTAGGTAAATCAGTAATATTTATAGTTTGGGCTAATGATCCATGTTGACTAGAAATGGACTAAATATTTATGAGGATCCATGAAGAGTTAGTCCATGAGGCTAATAAGTTATTACATTAAAATTCCAAGTGAATTAAGGTTTACAAGTTTAAACCTTAAGGATTCCAAACTATAAATATGATCACTAGCATGCTAAAATCGGCCCCTATAAGTCTAAGAGCACCATAACCGATTTTATGTCTCCTTACTTCTCTCTCAAGTTCCTCCTCTTGTTCTTGGTTTCTTATAAGCATTTGAGGCATCACACTTGAGGTGATAGGCTCTTGAAAGACCAAATCCTACAAGCTACAAAAAAGAGGTATTCTTCTAAATTACTTTTATGCTTCAATTACCAATATTGTATGTTAGTTGTAGGTTTCTAGCTTTGGAAATTTTTGTTGCATGTATAACTAGAGAAAACTTAGATCCAAAGCTATTAGGGTTGTATGTGCACCATATGAGTGTTATAGTACACAAAACCCAACAACATCCTAGTCCATAAACATATAAGTCATATACTACCTAGCTTATCTAGGTGCTGGGATACCCCTTCAGCCCTATCGACTAGTATTGGGGTCTATCATACTCCTTCTACCACTATCACATAACATCACATCATACAAGCACATAAAGCATATAGATAGTGACATAACAGATAATTATCACAAAGACAATCATCTCTACTATAGCTCTACTAATGGGCTGGTATTGGTGTCTTAGACCCACTTCTACTAGAAGGTAACTCACCTTGTACTGTTGAAGTCCATTGCAAGAAATCCTTACTTCTTCCTGGCGACTCCTCAAGCTATCAATATCACAATATCACCCCAATTAGCAATTGGGTCCTAACCATAATGCATAACTCATACTTCGAGTAAAAGGACCATTTTACCCCTAGCCCAGCAAAATACATAACTAAGGCCTAAGTCCAAAACCAATCAATTCCAAAACTCCAAAGTCCATAAGAGTCCATTGATGGCCCACTAATGGCCCAATTTTCCAAATTCGGCCCCAACCCTTACATGGGACTACCTTCTAGCACACATTCCATACTTCATAACCCTCTAACAGTCAACCTTGGTCAAAGTCAACGTCAAAGTCAACATTTTGGTGAAAGTCAACATCCTGGTTGACTTAACTCATCGAGTCGGTCTATCAACTCGTTGAGTTCTTGATCCATGAAATTCTGGAAATCTCCATCCTACTCGTCGAGTTTTTTGATGAACTCGTCGAGTACCCCTTTAAACAGAGTCGAGACAATTCACTTACAACTCGTTGAGTCCCTCTTTGAACTCATCGAGTTCCTCAATCTTCATAGCTCAAAACCATGGCCAACTCACTGAGTCATCTCCTAGACTCAACGAGTTTACTCAGTAATAGAAAAAGGTTGGGGAACCACGACCCACCTCACCGAGTTGTATGAACAAATCGTCGAGTCCCCCATAGCCTATATCCATTAAGTCACTTTCTATTGGGCTCACTGCATCGAATCCATAGATTTGGTCCCCTAGAGTCGATATATCACATAAAGTTACTAACTTTACATCCATGGATGAGTTATTTAGCTCAAAAGGTCGAAAAAGGTGGTTCACAAGTTGCATGGGAATCCCATGGCCATAAAGTTGTCACTTTTATACCATGGAGTCTCTCAAAGGCTCTAGATCCGAAGCCATGACTCCAATACATGCTTGCATCCATGAATGGTTCTAAAATAAGCTACTAAAATCCCTAAACTCCTCCATAAAGAGATATCGCAAGTGAATAGTCAAGGTATAGACTTTATACCTTAATATGGCTGCCTTAGTAGAGAAAACCCTGGATCTAAAGCTTCTTCCTTCAACCAAGCACCCCCAACTTCAGTTCCTTTAAGAATTTACCAAAGAATCACTCTTTTCACTCCTACCACTCAAGAGGGCTCAAGCTCACGAACTAGGGTTTGCTAAATTAAGGGGGGCGATGAGGGAGGCCACAATGAGGTTTTAAGGTCCTTAAATAGGGTGCAAACCCTGAATATTAGGGTTTCACTCTGGAAGTCCTACTCGTCGAGTTGGGGCTCCCCAACTCGTCGAGTAGGTTTCTTAAACCGCGTCTAAATTCCCATTTCTACTCGACAAGTTTTGGGCCTCCAACTCGTTGAGTCCCTTGGCAATAATGAGAATTCTAATTTAAAATACCTACCAGGAACCGGACGTTACAAATCTCTCCCACTTATTTTAGACATCATCCTCGAAGTCTACCACAATCACCTAACCCCAAAATGACTCATGTGATAAGTCTACAGCTCCCTCGATTTGCCATGAACCAACTAACGTTTCTTACAGGAACTGACACCTGCCATCCTGAGGGTACAACTAGCACCCCACATGATCAGTGGCCTTCCCACGACAACTGAAAATTATATCTCCTGAACCTTCAACCCTAGTAAGCTACTTCTACCTTCTGAGACCTAAAACTTATCGTAACCTAGTTTCCCGATGACTTGCCCATGCTAAAATGACTTGAAACAACTCTCCATCAATCCCCAAACTACTAGCGAAACAATTGTTGGGTTTTAAGAACTATAACACTCCTATGGTGCACATGTAACCCTAGATGCTTTTGATCTATGTTTTCTCAAATTATACATGCATTTTAAATTTTCCAAAGCATACATCCTAACTAGCATACAATAGAGGATATACAATATAAAATTTATAGTGTGATGAATACCTCTTATGCAGTTTGAAGTTCTTGTCCTTGAAAGCTTTAGCACCTCAAGTGTGATGCCTCTAATGTGTCACAAACACCAAATGTAAGAAGAGGCTTGAGAGAATAAGCTAGTTAGCACAAAATCTATTATCAAACTCTTAGAATGATGGGTCAACCCATTTTAGCTCTAGGGGTGTACTTTTATAATGTTACAAATGCTATGGTTACATCCATGCAAACCCTAATGCAACATGACCTTTCATATTACTTAGGCTCCATGGGCA